AGGAGACATTTTTGCTTTATCAAAGATGCATTTAATTCGTCATGACCTGGAGCTGCATTTTTCAAATTTATGATAATATCGTGAATCTCTGTAGAATCTGGGTCTTCAAAAGAGTTAGTGTGTGGATAGGAACATTCAAAATATTGCAAAGGGGAACAATCGGTCTTTTCGATTTTGTTTGCAAGGGATGGCCCAATATTGGTGAAAAAATCGTTGAATCTGTAAACAATGTCTTGTGGATCATCTATGTATGACTCTCCATCACGAAATTTATTAGGAATGACAATACTTGTTTTTTTTTCTGTTAAGGAGTTCGTTGATTATTTTCCAGGTTTTGGATATATCCGAGGATGCGGCTTTTAACTTTTCGTCGTAATATTTATTTTTAGACAAACGAATAAGGGAGTTTTACTTGTTTCTAGACGTTTTGTAACGGTTCAAAGTAGATGGAGTTGGACTCCTTGTGTACGCCTTATAAAGTTGTTTTTTCTAGTTAACGATTTTAACAGTCAGACCAGTGGTAAACCATGGTTTGCTGTTCTCCAATTTGTGGTTCTGTTTACATACATTTCGTGAAGTGAGAATGAATGATTTTACTGAAATACGTAAAAGCAGAATTAGTATCGGTACTTTGATATATGCCCTCCCAAGTTTCATCGTTTAATAATCTTTCAAATTTCTTTTTATTAATACTATTAAATCTACGTTGAGTACGTTCATTACAATTGATTTTATCTCTGGTAAGCGATTCTTTAATATAAAAGATTGGAAAATGATCAGATATATCAGTAAAAACAAACCTGTTACGTAAGAATCATTCAGGGAATTTGTCATAATGTTATCAATTAGTGTTGCTGACTTATTTGTTACTCGGGTTGGCTTAGAAATGGTTGGATAGGTACAACAGGAAAATAGAGTGTTGAGAAAATCAGCTGTTAGCTGTTAGCTGATGTCTCTAACAATCTTTCATCGTAGTCTTCAGAGAAAAAGTCAGGGATCGTTTCAGGGGTCGTTTTGTCTAAAATAATAACAGAAAAATAATCGTTTTCTATATAAACTAATAACAGAAAAATAACCGTTTTATATGAAATGATAGAAAAATAATCATTTTCTATAAAGAAAATTACAGAAAAATTATCGGTTTCAATAAAATAACGGTGTACAAACCAGGCACACTGCGCAGGTTCACTTCCTGGCCCCTGCCCACAGCTCTACCGGGACCGGATGAGGGTGTGTCCGGCGGCGGCTTGACGTGAACGATCTGTGCTCTCCAAGCATGCAGAGGTTGGTGGGGAAGATCACAGCCTGCAGAAGAAATACGAGGGTTTATTGTTTGTTTGTTTATTTATTTGAGGGTGTTTGTCGTGAACGTCAAAAAAATTGTATTTTGACATTAATGAAAGTCTCTCAGATGATTATGAATGACGAAGCATTGGCTAAGATTACATCGCATGTCTAATTCATGCTATTTGACATATAATGTACCTGATGCAATCATTGTGCAATTATGAACATTTCATACTTGACTTGAATCAGCCCGCCCAAAATAGGCTAAAACAACTGAAGATTAATTACCCGTCTGACATGTTAGGTCATCTCCAATTTGTCACGCATTCTTTAAGTCAAGCTATTAACTCCATAGGTCAGAAAGACTGGCCCTATGTGTCAGTGTTTGAACCTAGCTGTCACTCAACCGTGCAGATGCAGGTGGCAGCTGCTGTAACGTGTAACACTATATACGTGGGACTCACTGGCGACACAGCTTCACAGTCTCCACAAGACTAACAAGTAAAATTTACCCAAAAAGGGAGAATAATTTGACAGTACAATTTTAATTTTATAAAAAACACAACACATGTACACACAGTTCTCTATCATTGCTAACGTGGGCACGGGTAACACCTATGATGACCCTATCTCCGTTCTCAGTTGAGCTGGACAGACTCAATGGATACTTATAAATTGCAAAGTTTATTGGAAACTCGTATTCGTAAGATAAATTACAACAAGCACATTATTTTGCAAGAAAATACAAGAATTGAGAGTCTAAAAAAGAGAGGGAATGTTCGACCATAGAGAACCAGAATGACAATTTATGCATCAAAACGGAGACAACGAAATAATTTGCACTGCACCATACAAATAAAACCAGGCCACAAGACCGAATAATGTGGGATGACGAGACATCGAAAAAGCATGTTAATACATCCAAGTGACAAAATCAAAGAGATCCTGGAGAATACTAGTCAACCAGGGAGAGATTCAGATTTCAGGCGAACGTTATTCAGAACAAAACGGCTTCAAACAAAACGACCCTCGTACTAAAACGGACATATACACATGTACATGTACACTGACTGATACACTGATGATAATAATGAATAATTTGATGTATAAAATATAGATGATTTCAGAACTTTCAGATGGAAATGTGGTGCTTTGGAAGAAAAAGGAAAAAGTTTTAGCGTACGAACATGGGATGTAAGTTTTAACATTTCTGAAGAACTATGCTTTTCGGAACGACGGGAAACAACAGGTCAGCTGTGACCAACGATTATGATTCTGTTTACAAGATAGGGGCCAATATTACGCATAGGGCATTCAACGTTTGTTCGCAGAATGGCACCGTTTCTTGTCTTAATCCAAAGGTCTGTTTTTAAAGATGATCGCTAGAAACTGATGGAACGAAAACACGTTACATCAAAACGATATGAAGATAACAATCGCTGAAAGAGACTGATCAACTCATTTGTAGCAACTTTCTAACTTACCCACATACCTTCTGCCAGCTCCTTGTCTGCCTTTAAGTTGTGCAGCGTCAGGTCGGGCTTCCATGTCCCAAGGATAGTGGAATATCATAGTGTCCTAGATCCTTGGATTTCCCCTCGCTGTATGATCTTCGTGGCCCCGCAATTTAGTAAGAGCATACTTTCCCACAGACAGATCCACGACTAGGAGCATTTCCTCTGTTTCCTTTCCCGTCATCTCGTCCTTGACCAAGGCCTTGAATCAGTAGCTGGGCAGCTTTGGTGCTTGTGCATAACCTGGAATTATTCCGCCATCGAGAGGGAGACGAAGGATTTCACGTCTGTGCATGGTGACGGCAGCGCGAGAAATGGCCTAGCCTGGTCAGTGCCGTATTTGCCCAGTCACGAGAATGCAAATGAGTTTCAGATATACGCACAACAGGTAATCGCACACAATGTATTTACAACATTATCCTATTCTATATTACACTACAACGCTCCGTGACACACATGGACGTTACAAGTGAAACGAAAACTGCATCAGGCTGAACAGGCTAGCATAAATTCTCACAGAAAAGATTTTCTGTCCGCCCGTGCTCTCACTGTCTCAGGAATGGATTGCAACACGATGTGCAAGTCTATTTCTCCCCCAGCCGTTTCCTGTTACCAGTGTCAGCTGTGTGTGAGAACTGAGAACTTCAGTTAACTGCGCCTCCGGTGATTTGTCAACTGTCTGACAAGGGTGACCTTAGGGTCATCTCACTGCTCACAGGCTGACAGTCTGGAAGCAGACGCCTTCTCATGTCAACAACTAGAGACTTGTGAGTGGCAAATGCTGGGCGTCCGGTATATGTAAAACTTTGCAGGAATACGTCTTACGCATAGCGTCCTGATATATCTCTGGGCACAAACATATCACCAATAATTAACTCCATCACTACTGCCAACGATTGAAAGATATTTACACCCAAACATTTATTACTGGAATCACAAATTGACCATAACACTCTAACAGAGATACATCTTCTAGCAACAAGTTACGAAAGAAGAAGGAGAGTACCTATCAGTCAACAACAAAGAGAAGTTTCCATACTTCGAACACCTAAATGGAAACCGTAACGATAAATTTATATTTTTGATGCGTCTAGACCATAGAGGTCTCTTTTCTACCTCCATGTCACAAACCCTGTATCACAAATATGACCTGTTCCCACATTTTCCATTGTACAAAAAAGCGAGAAGACGTTGACCACCCTGTATTATCTCAGTATTAAACTAGAACACTTTGTATTTAATAGCTTAGTATAATACCCTTGTATGTTCCTAATGTATGTCTAAGTCAAGTAGTGTATCTTTTGTCTCCTTTCTATATACGTTTGTTATATGTCTGTTAAGTCTTGACCTGTACCTAGCCCGTCGTGGCATGAATGTACAATAAAGGTCTTTCATCATCATCATTAAAAGGAAGGGATCTGAAGTTCATGTGTCTGAGGTCAGCATAAACCACACGAAATTGGTATTGTCTCTAAATCTGTGTCACGTAGCTTGGAAAGCCCCCCCGACTAGTGATACTTCACCGTCCTACCTTAGGTGAACCAAAGAAGACGTGCAACCTTTGTGTTCCACCAATTAACCCCTAAATTCCTATAGTGTCTGTTCTGTGGTAAAGCTTTGGCAACAACAAAAACCCATTCGTATCTCGGTGTTACATTGACAAGTAGCCTTAAGTGGGGCACGCATGTTAACAACATCACTGCGAAGGCCAAACAAACATTGGGAGTGATTAGGCGCAATCTGTGGTCATGTCCAACAAGGGTAAAACTTGCATACACGTCGCTTGTACGACCGAACCTAGAAAATGCCGCGACAGTATGGGATCCATATACAGAGAGAGACAAAGATAAACTGGAAAGGGTACAGAACCAAGCTGCAAGATTCTGCACGAACAACTATCAAAGGGGTGCTAGTGTAACGGAAATGAAAAGAAACCTACAATGGGGGTCGCTGGAAGACAGACGTAGAATGTCCAGACTGTGCATGATGTACAAAATGACTAATAAACTGGTGGACGTACCAACCACTAAGTATCTGATACCAGCCCAGAAAAGAACAAGAAACAGTCATGACAGTCATGCCTTCAAAGGCAAATATCAGAGTTATCAACCAAGAATTGAGGTATTCAAAAACTCGTATTTCCCCAGAACTATCGTAGACTGGAACTCGTTGCCACCAAGCACAGTTGGGGCATCATCACTAAAAAACTTTAAACAACTCCTGCAATCAAATGTGCAAAGATTGAGTGTAACAAGCCGTTCGGTGTGATATAGCTAGCTGCCTAGGCCTGCAAAGCTGGTGTGTTACGCCGAAGGGCGGTTATACTAGCTATACCGATACAGATACAGCTGAGTGTCCTTGGATGCTGGGTGACCTTGTACTCTAGCTGAACTGCTCATGTCCTCCTCAGTGAAATATTTGTATTAAATCTTAAATCACACTCTTAACATTCTAGGTCACTTTATCTATTTATTTATTTTTTTATTTTATTGAACAATGCAATACACGCGGAGCAGAGGCAGCTGTTGCTGGTGTTGTGTCCCGCACATAGAAACAAATACTGGACAGACAATACTCGTTTTCACTTGAGTCTAGTGGTCATTCTACGCACCTCTGGTTCACTCTTAACATTCTCTGTCACTCTGACCAACACCTCTGGTTCACTCTTAGATTCAGATTCAGATTTTATTACCAATGACATAGCAAGTACAATATAAAATCAACACCTGAATTGCGTCATTGCTTACAGATCCGCCTTTAAAATCCAAGTATAAAATTCATAATACATGATAAAATACAATTCTAAAAGTCATATCAGGAATAAGATATAACGGGATATCAGGTAACCTATTTACAAAATGTTTCTGGTGAGAGCAGCCACGTACCATGATGTATGAGCGTGTGTTACAGGTCAGCTCAAACAAACTCAGTGCTAGGATTACAAGTACGAGAAGTTTTAACAATGTGACTCTTAAGATCCCCTGTCACTCTGTCCATTCTAACCACCTCTGGGGGACACTCTTTAACCTCCTCTGTCGCTCTGTAGCCATTCTACGCAGCATGCCGGCGGCTCATCCTCTGTCACTATGGCCATTCTACGCATCTCTGACTCACACATTCTTCTAATTGCTGGCCCTCATAGGAATTGAGAATGTTCAGAGGAAGTCAGAATATCAGAGAAAGGCTGGAGTGACGAAGAATGTTCACTACGGGTGAGCCAAAATACTAGTAGCCAAGAAAGGCCAGGGGGATGGTGAATATTAAGGGTGTAGTAGAAAATACAGTTATATTGTAGGAGTAATATTGGCCGAAATAAGCTTAAACTATTACATTTGTAGTGTAATATAAATTGTGTGCGATTACCTGTTGTGCATATATCTGAAATTCATTTGCATACTTGTGACTGGACAAATACGGCTGACTGGCATCCGCATTTGTGTGTAAACCAGGCCTAGGTGTTACTGTTTCAAGAAAATGTACCGCAACACTGGGCTTGATTGATGACTTGGAAGAAATTATGGCCGCCGGTTGGATTTCAACCCCTAAAAAGAGACTGTCGCCTGAGAAGACATCTGTGAAAAACTGCCTAAAACGTAGCAATTTAATTACGACAACAGTTTGGTGGCTGGGTAGCCAGGCCCTCTGACTAATCAAGTCTGATCGCTGGAGGGGGTTGGCTGGCGAAATCGCTGTGACACCGGCAAAATAACGCGTTAAAAATTCTACAATACGCAGTATCAAGACTACACCCTTGCAACGTTCCGTGCTAGAAACCACTGTGCCATATATACATTGGCAGCATGAATGTCTCAAGAAAAGGGAAACAACGTACACAGGGTCACAAAGTGGTCAAGGAGACGGCATTGCCATTGGCAGTGCGTAATTGTATAGCCAGAAGAACATGACCCACAATATACAGTAATAGATATCCGGTTCAACGCTACCGAACTAGTGACTACCAAACCTTGGCTTTGAGTAATTACAGATTACAAACTTCTCTCCTTTTGGTGCGAACGGCTGCCGGCTGTCATTTACAGCTTAACAGTAACGTTAACACCCGGCTTCTATCAAAGCGAGGTACAGTGGTTGCAAGGTCAACTTCAGAAGCAGCCTGCTGTGTCCTTGAAGTGTAATTACAGAAGGGATGTGGAACACAACTTTGCGAAAACATGTCAGTCACAATGTCCAGATAGCGTACAATCGGGGGGGGGGGTGTTCCTTACACAGACACAAACTGTATTGCTGGAGAAAATGAGACAGTCGAGTATATTTGTAATTTAAACATCATCTTACGGTATGTGGGGTCGCGATCCGTTCGTGGCAAGCTTTGGTGCCTAAAGCTGTCCAAATGTCACTAAAATTTTGGTCTTAAATCATCATTAACACTACAAGCCATGCTCGTATGAAATTATCTTTTAACATTTTAATTATATGTAACAGATACTAGAGAAATGAAGTTGACTTCTGATGCAAAACTCTGGCCTGTTTCTTGATCGCGTCTTATCGTTTGCTATATCATACTTTTCGTTCCCGAAAACCGATCGACCGGAAGCCGTTTCTAAACATGACCATAACATAAGGAAGCTACCCGATGAGAGATACGTATCGTTTCATCTGTCCCGGACCCATTGTGGTTTTCATCAGATCTTGTAGCCTGGATGCGCAATCTCCAATCAGATCATACAGTGGCAACCATGGACACTCGTCTGGCCAATGGATACTGCCTTGCCACCGAACATTTTTCCACGACATACTATACACTTGTGGGATGACCCGAGGCTCGGTGTGTCAACTCCACGGAAGCTAGCCTTGCCTTCAGGTCAGCCAACTGCGCGACCCGATCTCCTACCTCTAATTTGCAGCCGTCAACTTCAATAACGAATCTACGTCTAATAGACTCTTACGAAAAATGGGGACAGTTCGTTATGTGCGTTTCCGGTATTGGCTTTGTCATAATCACCAAGGATATGCTTTCATGTCCGTGTATGCCATACGTGGATGACAATAAGAATTGACATATAGTCACTTGCCTCTTTGTCATTCATGAAAAAAAAAATATCGAAGACTCGACGAATCTATGGGGTTGAGCGGCACACTCAACTAAAGTGAAACGTTATTTCCTGCAAATTTTGCCGGTACGCCGAGCTATTAAAGTGTTCTCTATTAAAGCCTACATTAATTGGTTCAGCTGTACAAAGAACAGCCAGGGCTGTCCAACTACATGTATTTTAAAGGGCTAGCCCCGGGTGACAAGGACATACAAGCTACATAAGATGAGTACAGGACATTACAATAAAAATAATGAACTCATTACATCTATAGGATTTACTATACATAAATGCATAACGACTTAAGCTAAGGTGTACTAAAAAGAGTAGTATTTACATCGGGAGGGCAGAGTCAGAATCCACAATGTATGGATCTCCAAATGAGGTCTGGAGTTTTGTTTTGAAGCAGGTAATAGTGGGAGCTGTGCGGCATTAGGAGGTAGCGTGTTCCGAAGCAAAGTGGCTCTATGGAAGAAGATTTTTTGGCCCAATTAGCCAGGCGGTTTGGTACTGGACAGAATCCAAGGACCTTTGGTT